CCTGGGCTAGCAGTGGGTCTGGGGTTCCAGGAAGTCGGCAGAAATTCCTACTCGGCGAGAGGGGTGGGGACCTACGGCGGTGTGGTGGGGGGTGGCTCGAGAGGGCGTGAGAGGGTCCGGCCCACGCTGCGCCTGGGCTGGGAATGGTCCCGCCGGTGCAGGGTAGCAGGAAGCTCTCCACACACTCACCAGACCTGGGCTAGGACTGGGTCTCACCTGTTCCATGTTATGCCTAAGATGTTTAATATGCAGACAGATAGTGAGGTTAAGCTTAACAGCCTAAGTTGTATGGTAATAACAATAAGCTTCTCTTCTAGATAGTTAAGAACCTAAGTTTGCAGATCAAAATTAGAGAAAAAGGATGGCTGCAAGGAAAGCCAACGTTTTGGCCATAGCCTTCCAAGGTCAATTAAGACTCAGGACATATGAGAACTTGTACTGTAATGTCATGTAACTCAGTAGTGTCCCAAATTTTCTGATCAAGGAGATTATGTGGCCAGTGAGGAAAGTGATTGATAACATACAGTGTGCCTAAGGAGAGTCACATGGAGAGAAAACATTCTCTCAGGCTTTCACAGAGAGCACAGTGGCCAAGCAATGGCCGTGACTCATCCACATGGCTGACACTGACAAAGGTTCTACAATCTGAGGTACAGGATCTCAGGATAAATCCTGAGGGGATTTCATTGGCCTTATCAGCCCCAAAAGCTACAACTCTTGCTGTTTTTGGTGTCAGAACTGGGGATTGAACTGAGGCTCTTGTGCTTGCCAGGGAAGCTCTTATTCCACTGAGCCATCTCCCCAGCCAACTCTTGTTGCATAGGTCCTGCTTTACCTTGGTATTAACCACCTAGCAGAAAAGTATAAAAACGAGATATAAGAAGTAAAGCCATGCTGTTATGTTGAGCTGTAGGGGACTCACGTCAACAATTTCTGACACTGCCAGTCAAGAGGAAGACCCAATAGTATTATGGACTACTGGACTCTTTTAGAATATTTTGCTGAGTTTACACACCTATAATATTCAAATAACGGAACTTAAAAAAAGGGTATACAGCTGAATGTCCATTTTGTATTTGTGTATTCCAAGTGGTTAGGATAGATATATAGTTCCATTCTCTTAATGAAAGAGTGATTTTTTTCTAATGGTGTTTGCAAATAGGATATCATGTGTGCATCTTGTACAGCAATTAACCACTAGGAAGAATGTATGCAACATGTTAATTATTGAAACTGTTCTACCAATTTGATTTGAAATTGTCTCATTGCTGTTTATCAATAAATTATGGGAAAAAATCAGTAAAGCCCTATTAATATGCTAAGCTGTAAAATGCTCAAGTGACCAACTTTTGGCATTGCCAGTCCTACCTATTACCCACTACTATTAAACACTACTGGACATATTGGATTATTTTGCTGAATTCACACACCTACAATATTTAAATGGCCTTGGAATACCCTGAAATAACTGAACAAAGAAGGGGATATAAATGAAGGACCATTTTGTATCTGTATACACAAAACAGTTAGGATACATATACAGTTACTTTCTCTTAATTCAATGAGAAGAAAGATTTGTACTAATAGTGTTTGGACAGGATATCATGTCTCCATCTTGTACTATGAATAACCACTATGAAGACAACAATATGCACTGTATTAATTATTGAAACTGTCCTACTAATTGGGTTTGAAACTGTCTCATTGCTATTTGTTTCCCAATAAAATAAAAAAAAAGATTGATTTGCTGGAGGCTGTTTCCCTCATGTGGTTCCTGTAAAGGTGTCTCCTGTAGAAGCATGCCAGTAAAGCCAAAGAGAGAGAAAGCCAGCAAAATGCAAGGCAGTGTGATTTATAATCTAATAGAAGAGATATTTCATCCCTTTTGCCATATTTTATTCATGATTAGCAAAAGCAGGGGGCCTAGCACTCACACTGGGAGAATTCCACGGAGTATGAGTCACATGTAGTGGTAATCATGTGGGCAGCCACATTTATAACATATAAAAAGATAGCAGGCATGATGGCATAAGCCTGCAATATCAGCTACCTGCGAGGCCGAGACAGGAGAATTTAGATTTTGAGGCTAACCTAGGCAATGTAGTGAGTCTCTATCTCAAAAACAAAACAAATCAAATCAAAACAAAATGCATTGGAGATATGGCTCAGAATTATAGCACTTACTAGCATGTGTGAGGCTTTGGGTTCTATTCCTAGCACCATAAAGCAAAACAAACAAAAAAATTTTAAAAAGCACACATGCATATACACAAAAGAAATGAAGGAATCACAGGAAAAAAACAATTATCAAATAATACACAAAATCATCAAGCATGTACGAAAAACAAGTCCTCAGTACTGTCAGATTCTGTGCAAATGCCAAGGAAGAAGCATTCCATCAATGTCGCGAACAGCAACTTCTTTGTGATTTAGTAAAAACAACTTAGTGGCAAAGAAATGAAAGCCCAACTGTACAACAGACGAAGAGCATATGACAGATAGAGAGTACGACTCTCCTGAAGCAGCTCAGCCTGGAGTAAAGAAAAGCCAGTACTATAGAGGAGAGGAAAATAAACAACTTTAATAGCATTGAGCAATTTTAGGGATAGAGACAAAGATTAACAGAAGTTAAAGACATAGACAGAATGTGAAATAAAGGTTCAAATTGGAAATCACAAAACAGAAACAATGAGGGAATACTCAATTTTAACAAGAAGACAGTTATAGCATGTAGTAGCATAGGAGACAGAATGACAACAGAGAAAAGTCCTGCTATTACCTCTCCCTTCTCCAGGAAAATGGCATTTACAAAATGCAACGTACCAGGAGCACCTGTAAGCTGCTTTGCTTGACATATGCTACCAAGTAAGATTCTGCTGAATCAGTGGCTTAAAAAAGCTCCCCTTATCTGTACATTCTCTATTTTGTACTTCAGGTATTATTTCATCCATGAAAGTCAAGTCCTTTTTCTCCCAAAAGGTTATACTTTTTTATATATTCAATATTCCTATTGTTTATTAAATATACCAAAGTTTTACAGAGAGTCCAAGGATTCTTACTCATATGAATAAAATTTCTAAACTTATGGAACAGATGTTTCACATAATGGCTAAAAAATTAAAACTTTTATCAGATTTAAGAAGGCACGTGAAAAATTTTGAAATAAAAAAGATAAATGAGTAGCATGAAAAATGAATGAGCTGAATGAGCCCCCAGGGGAAAATGAATGACCCCTAACTTTCTTATATTTTTCCATTTTCCAAGTAAAAATACTCAAAATTTAAAAAACTCACCCAAGTAAAAATACTCATTATATGTAAAATGTCTGTTCAAGGCAACAATGTGTGTGCATGTGTATACATAGTAATAAATAAAAATTGAAGAGGAAGGAATTAACTGAATGGTATCTTCTGCTTGTATATATGCATATATTTTAGTTATGTAGTTAAATGATACAAAAAGAAGCACATTAGTAAGCTTTACAAAGGTATACTATTCCAATGATACTTATCTTCTTCTCTTTCTAGTAACATTCCTATTAGTAACAATGGTTCACAGTGATAGAGATTCCAGTCCACAAAGAAGGGTATATTTTTGATCTCTCTTGAGAGATGATAGGGGAATAAAAAACAGGACAGTATTAAATTAAATTAAAGGGCCGGGGAGATTGCTTAGTGGAATAAGATTTCCCTGGCAAGCGCAAGGGCCTGAGTTCAATCCCAGGTTCCACCAAAAAAAGAAACAAAAACAAAAACAAAAACAAAAACAAAAACAAAAACCAAACCCAAACAGGACAATATTGATAGGAATACTTGTAAATAATGTAAAACATTTTATGTATCACTGACACAATATTCTAAACTATGTTCATCTTAATACTACAAAATATAAATATGATGGTACAATAGAGATCATTTTAAAATCCAGCTGTAAATATTTAAGAGACAGCTAAAACAAAAGTGGTTTAATTCTAATTCCTCACTGATACATTCTTAAATAGGTATTCCTGGATCATATTTCTTTGTCAAGTTTATATTAATAGAGGATACTAAATTATATTACTTTCTAATCTCCACCAGTGAAGCACCTATTGAAGAAGATAGAAAAACAGGACTAGGAAATAATGATAATGGCGCCCTCCCCTACTCCTAGTATTTGCAACTATTTCAAAATAAAATTAGGCTCATTCCAACTCACCTTTGTAAAGGAGCTTCTGAAAGCTTACTCTTGCAGTTCATGAACAGCGTCAGCTTCATGTTTATAATCTTGCCAAGAACCTATTAAGAAATTTCCATATTTGACTTTAAATAATATTAATGGCTAATATTTGTTAAACACACATCATTTATTAGGCACTATATTATCCTCATAAGTCTCCTCCATGTAGTTGGGGTATGGAGTGACTAAATAATTTAGCCAAGGTCACAGCAAAGCATGGCAGAAGTAAGAACTGAGCTCAAACAACTTTCAATGTTCTAGACTTAAGCTGCTTGCCTTTATCCTAAAGTGACTTTCCTTCCTAGTATCTAACTTTGTTTAGGACTGAAAAACAAGTAAAATAAACACTAAAACCTTAATCTGCCATTATAAAGCAGTGAACACTAGCAAGTGTACCCTGATCCTTTTGAAACTTTCTTTTATTGCATAATTTTATTGAGAAACAAAAATGAGACAGTTTCAAATCAAATTGGTAGGACAGTTCAATAATTAACACATTGCATACTCTCTTCCTAGTGGTTTTTTGCTGTACAAGATGCAGAACTGATATCTTATTTACAAACACTATTAGAACAAATCCCTCTATTCATTACGAGACTAACTTTTTTTTTTTTTTTTTTTTCCAGAACCGGGGATTGAACTTAGGTCTTTGCGTTTGAAAAGAATGTAACTATATATCTATCCTAACAATTTTGAATACACAGATACAAAATGGACATTCATCTGTCACCTTTTTTGCTTAGTGCTGTCATTTGAATATATAGGTGTGTTAACTCAGCAGAATGTTCTAAAAAAGTCCGGTAGTCCATAATAGCATTGGTTCTTCTGCTTCACTGGTAGTATCAGAAATTCTTGACCTGAGTCCCCTACAGCTCAACATAACACCATGGCTTTACTTCTTATAGTTCATTTTTATACTTCTCTATTGGATGGTTAAGACCAAGGTAAAGCAATACCTATGCAACAAGAGTTGTAGCCTTTGGATCTGATATAGTCAGTCAAATCCCCTCAGGATTTATCCTGAGATCCTGTACTTCAGATTGCAGATACTTTGTGAGTGTTGCCCTGTAGATGAGTCATGGCCACTGCTTGGCCAATGTGCTCTCTGTGAAAGCCTGAGAGAATGTTTTCTCTCCATGTGACTCTCCTTAGGCACACTCTACATCATCG